TTCACCATGTTGACCAGGATGGTCTCGATCTCTTGACCTCGTGATCCATCCGCCTCGGCCTCCCACAGTGCTGGGATTACAGGCTTGAGCCACCGCGCCCGGCCAGAGAAATATTTTCAAATAGTTGAATCTTTCCTAAGTGCCCTGCCTCCACTCATGTGCCCATACTCCCCACCCCAGGCTAAAGATACAGGTGACAACAACGTGGATTTCACCTTTGGGAAGTTTCCAGTTCCTTGTTTGTGGCTTTATGCTCAAACAAGAAGTGTAGTCTGTTCCTACATATCTAAGAGCAGATAGATCTGAACCCTATCTACCCTCACCCCAGACTGAAAGTATTTGAATCAAACTAACATGTCTGGTCACCCAAAGCAGCTTTCTTGGTAGGGACCTAGTCTCGAGAACGTTAGTGGGGAAGTCTGTGAATCTGTGGGGTAACTGGGCAAGGCAGTAGATATGGGGATTGAGCATGAATTAATTTACCCAGGATAACTTATGAGTACAGGCATGGAGGAGAGGACAGGGTAGGGGCCAAAAAGGGCTTGACTCTGTCATTTCTGCTCATAGAACGATGTAGGCCTTGTGTGCTAAGTGTAGAGCTCTGGCTTCCTGTGGCCTGTCACCGCCATATGATGAGTCAGTCTTGCTCCCAGCTGTCCCTGCAGGGCATCTTGGGTTTAGTAGGGGGTGAAATAGGGATTCTAAGTCAGGTAGCCTTTCTTCAAATCCTGCAGGTGTGCAGGGAGGAGTTGTGCCTCCCAGGACCTGTTTCCTATGTGTTGAAGTAGGAGGAATCCCATCTAGATTCTGTGGGGGTTTCCTTCCATCCTTCCATCCCTTTTTCACACTGTCACTGGCCTGGCTTCTGGGAAGAAGAGAGAAAGGATGAGAGAAATATAGAACTTGAGGAGGTGTATAGATTTGCTGTCCTTAAATTCTTTCTGGAAGAAAGTATAGGTATTGGGAGGAAGATCAGTGTATGGGTGGGTGAACACATACACTGCTTATACTCTTGCCTGGCACTCAGCCTGGACCCTTACTCAGTATTATTAATCTTGTTATATGCTGGTCCATTCTCCCAGTTGGAATATGAGCATATATATACGTGTAACCTTCTATCAGTAGTTGTACCTTGTTACTGTTTTACCATCTTTTTTCTCTTGAAGACATTTTCATGTCAATACATACAGAATAAAGGGCTGATATTTCAGTGAGTGGGTATATCATACTGCTATTATTCTCTAATATTTAATCTATTTATCTTACCTGTTATCTATGGGGCTGCCTTTGACTCCCTTACTTAACAAGATAACAGTCCCCCTTTCTTCTCCCTCTCCCCGCCTATATTTTTCTCTATAGCATTTAGCATCACTTGATATATACTTATTTTTTTGCTTATTGCCTAACTTTCCTCTGTTAGAATATAAGCTCCATGAAGACAGGGATTTTTCTTTTAAAAATTGTCTTATTATGCTAGAATCAGGCAGCATTTTCTTCTATACCATAGAATGAGTGTTCCTGTTTTTTTTTTTTTGGAGACAGGGTCTCGCTCTGTGACCCACGCTGGAGTGCAGTGGCATGATCTGGATTCACTGTAACCTCAACCTCCTGGGCTCAAGTGATCCTCTTACCTCAGCCTCTCAGGTAATTGGGACTACAGCCATGTGCTACTTCACCCAGCTAATTTAAAAAATTTTTTAAAAGATCCGGTCTCACTGTGTTGCCTAAGCTTAAACTCCTAGGTTCAAGCAGTTCTCCCTCCTCAGCCTCCCAAAATGCTGGGATTACAGGTGTCAACCACCACACCTGGCCCTTTTTTCTTTTTTATCCGTGCTCTATACCTGGTATTGAGAACCGTTCCTGGTGCATCATTGATGCTCAGTAAGTATTTGTTGAGTGAATTAATTTGTTGGATATTTGGTATATCCAACAAATTAATTCATTGGGCTTTTTATTTGCAATATTTTGATTATTATGAGCACTCTGTGCTAAACACTTGGTATATACATCTTTGCATGCTTGTCCACTGTCTCTTTAGGATAAATTCCAAGAAATTCGTAAGCTAAGTTAAAGGGTATGCATATTTAAAATGTTAATTCATGGAGCCAAACTACCCTTGAGAACATAAACTTCTATTAGCAACATGTGAGATTGCCTGTTTCCCCATACTTTTAATAACATTGGGTGTTGTGTGTTTTTGTCTTCCTCATCTGACAGGTGAGACATGGTCTTGTAACACAGTGGTCAAGAGTGTGACTTTGGAGCCAGCCTGTTGGGGGCTGAATTCTGACTCAGCCATTTGCTAACTGTGTGACCTTGGGTAATTCATTTACCTTCTCTGTCCTTCAATTTTATCTTGGTAAAGTAGGGATAATGATAGTACCTATTTATGGGGTTATTGTGAGGAATAAATCCAAGTAAAATGCTTAGAATAGCAATTGAAACATAGCACTCAATAAATATGATTTAATTTTCATTTCTTTGAATATTAAAGGTTGAATTTTCAAATGTATTTTGGACCTTTGTATTTTTTATTTAAATCAATTCATAACTTTTGCACCGTTTTTTTTTTTTTTTCTTTCCTTTCAGAGACAGGGTCTTGCTTTGTTGTCTAGGCTGGAGTGTAGTGGTATGATCATAGCTCACTGCAGCCTTGAACTCTTGGGCTCAAGAGATCCTCCTGCCTCAGCCTTGTGAGTAGCTGGGGACTACAGGTGCCTGCTACCACACCTGGCTAATTTTTTATTTTTTTGTAGTGATGGGTTCTTGCAACCCAGACTGGTCTTGAACTTTAGCTTCAAGTGATCTTCCCACCTTGGTCTCCCAAAGCATTGAGGTTACAGGCATGAACCACTGCACCTTGCCTGCACATTTTTTCTAATAACTTTTTTTATTAATTTGTAAGAGTTTTAACATGTTGACTATCATAAATGATAGGGCATTGTTCACCATTTTGTCATTTTTTTTTTTTTCAATTTTGTTTATGCAGCTTTTTTTCTGTGTGCAAATTTTGCATTTTTAGGTAGTTAGAAAATCCCTTCCCTTATAGTTTTTTTCTGCTACTAGACCAATGTTTAGAAAAAGCATGTTCCCCAACCTCAAAATTATAAAAATAGTTACTTGTTCTTTTTGAGTACTGTGTGTGTTTAAATCTTTAATCTTTAAATTTAAATCTTTGATCCATCTGGTATTTATTTGGACATGAAGAGAGTGGTTGGGATCTGGCTGTATTTCTTTTCTTTTCTTTTCTTTTTTTAAGTCTCACTCTTGCCTAGGCCAGAGTGCAGTGGTGCGATCTTGGCTCACTGCAACCTCCGCCTCCCGGGTTCAGGCGATTCTCCTGCCTCAGCCTCCCTAATAGCTGGGATTGAAGGCGCCCACTACCACGCCTGGCTAAATTTTTTTATTTTTAGTATATATGAGGTTTCAGTATGTTAGCCATGCTGGTCTCGAACTCCTGACCTTGTGATCTGCCCGCCTCAGCCTCCCAAAGTGCTGCAATTACAGGCGTGAGTCACAGTGCCCAGCCGTGTATTTTTTTTTCAGTTGGGTAGCTATCCTAAACTCATTTGTTAAAGAAGGAGAAACAGGAGCCTTCAGTCTATTCTCCTCTTCCCTAATTTGAAAGTGGCTCGTTATTTTAAATATCACATCCTCAGAAATAGCAAATCCCGTCTCAGAGAATGGATTTAATGTTTGGATACAGCCAAAAGTCATTTCATTACTAAACTCTGGGGTTGAATATACCATTTAGAGCAGTTTTGGATCAGAATTCACAGTCTGAATTGTAAGTGATGAGACTGCTGTCTCTCTGCTGAAGCTTCTTAACTGGCTCTGAAGTCTCTTCCAAAGCAGATCTTAACAAGGGTACTGCTTTGAAAGGCCATTGTTCATTTGAATGATACTTTCTGTATTGTTCAAAAAAAAGTGCTTGTAGCAGGTATTTTCTCATTCCAGGTTGAGAGTATTGGTAGGATATTGATAAGGGGTACTGAATGGTAATAAACCTGTTGTGCTTTAGCTCTGCCCTAATCAGCTTATTTCAGAACTCTAGTTTAATTCAGTTTCTTGCCTCTGACTCAAAATGGAGGGAGGGTGGTTCTTATATAAAAGAACACCCACATTTCCCTTTGGCAGCAGCTACCTGCCAGAGATTGTGAAGAAGAGTAGCCAACCTTTACATAGTACATATTGTGTGCCAGTCATGGCCTAAGTATAATACCTTACATGTATAAACTTCTTACGAGGTTGGTGCTCTGTACTGAGTTGAATGGTATCCCCCAAAATTCATGTTCTGCCAGAACCTATGAATGTGAACTTATTTGGAAATAGAGTCCTTGCACATATAATCAAGTTGAGATGAAGTTTTACTGGTGAGTTCTAGTCCAGTGACTGGTGTTGTCATAAGAAGAGAGAGACATAGAGGGAAGATGGCCACATGAAGATGGAGGTAGAGATTGCAGTTATCCTTCTGCAAACTAAGGAATGGCTCTGGCCCTCCAAGGATTGTCAGCAATTACCAGAAACTAGAAGAGACAAGGAAGGATCTTTCCCTAGAGCCTTCAGAGGGAGCATGGCCCTACTGACACCTGGATTTCAGACTTGTAGCTTCCAGAATTGTGAGAAAATAAATTTCTGTTGTTTTAAGCCATCCAGTTTGTGGTAATTTGTTATGGCAGTCCTAGGTAACTAATATACAGTCTTACCATCTTCATTTTCAGGTAAAGGAAACTGAGGCTCAGAGAAGTCAAATACAAGATCTCTGTAGGCCCCTACTGTGCTGGCTGTGCATAGATTCTGTACCTCCTGCTGCTGCTGTTGTTGGCTCTCCACCTTTACTATGGCCATCACCTCCTGAGAGTGCTTGAGCTGAGCTGCTGGAATGACTTATTTTTATAACTTATCAGGCCATAGCCTTTCCCCACGTCTTGCCTGCTTCATACTGTAAATCAGAAACTCTTCTTAGGAGGCTTCTGACTGTAGCCTGACCATCTCACCCCCGATCTCTTCTCCAATCCCTCTTCCCTCCTTTTTTTCCCTTTCCTATTCTGTCTTTATTTTTACTTTTCGTGCAGTGTCAGAGAAGTGTAGTGATAGTGTTGGGGGAGGATCCCCCAGTTGCATCTGGCAGTTAGTTTTATACTTCACACTTCTGGCCTGCTGTATCTTCTAGAATTTCTGTTAATAGGCAATTCAGATCTTCTGTTTTTCTTTGGAGCTTTCAAGATCTTGCACATAGCTTATAGTTACATAGCTATGAATAGAGAATGGGCACCTTCATGGTGGCACTGGCTGTGAGGGCACTTTTATTGATAAATTCAACCCACCGCAATGGCTGTCTCTCCTGTCAAAGTGAGTGAAGGGATTAGAGTATTTTCTGAACCAGCTGATCTCCCTGAATAGCTTCTTGCCTGCCCTGGGGCTTTTCTGTTGGCATTTCATTGGTGGCTATGGAATCTTGCCTGTTTTCCAATATAGACCTTTGGCTTTAGATCCTGTTCATGTTCTTATCCACTCTCACAGGACTGAACTCCAGGAACCACGTCTCTTTTGTTTGCTGCTCTATCCCAGGATTGAGCAAAGCCCCGATTCTTACCCCTCAAGAAATATTTGTTGAATGAAGAAGTGAATATTGACCTGGAATCTTCAAACTCTTGGTTTTCCTTGCTTCTTCCTGAAGTCAGGGGCCGGAATAAGAATCTGTTTAACAGTCCTAAGCAATAGAAAAATTGTGATGCCCCTCATGCTTTCCTCCCTCAGTATGTATTTAAAGACTTTAAATGCAAAATAAGTACAAAGAAACTCAGCAAAATATAGAGAAAATGCAGCAAAATTCTGATTTTTACCATGGTTACCACTTTGATAAATATAAAGTAACTTAAAATTGTTGTTGTTGTTGTTCTTGTTTTCCCAGTTCTCTTGAGAACATGCTGTTGAGTAATCCTGCTTGGACCAGTCCTTCCCTCACCCTAGACTTCACCTTCAGTTCCCCTTTATACCACCTGCTGAAGCTGCCAGTCAGCCTTTTCCACCACCCTGCCTCCCCCAGGGGTGTTTGGCTTCTCAGACCCCAGACTGAGCTAGTGCTCTTGGCTCCCTAGGGTCTTGCCAGGGAAGTCATATATACTGCCAAAGAGTACCTAGTAGAACGCCCATGCTGAATTGTGATTTATAGTCAGCATAGCACATTGTGTCAGGTGATTATACTTAGGCTGCTTTTAGCTTTAAGAATCTGCTTCTGTGATCTTGTATGTGGAAAGCCTAGAAATTTCTCTGTGATCTGCCTTCCTGGATCACTGAGACAAGTCAAGTCATAGGCCGATTCTACTACCTGTATTAATCTGGGCCTTGTTGAGACCATTCAAAGAAAGGTGTGATGCTAGAAGTAAGGCCCAGGCCTCCTCCACTCTGTTCCAAGGCTGTGACCATAGTCAAATCCTGTTGAGTCCAAAGAGTTTAAAATAGTGTTGGAAACCTCCTAGGAAAAAAAAACCACCATAACTTCCTGGGTAAGGAAGTGACATGTGCTGACTAGAGCAGGAGGGGTAGCCAAGGCTCCAAGTTCTATTCTGGACCTGTTGTTGATTTGAGGTGTGACATTCAGCAATCTGAGCTGATGTTCTGTAGCTCTGATTGGTTTCTCATCTGCAGAGAGTGAAAGAGGCTGTGCTTTAGGAGAGCCTCACCATTACACGTCCTGCCTCATTTTAATTCCAGGCTTCTTTTTGAGATGGACTCTCACTCTGTTACCCAGGCTGGAGTCCAATGGTGTGATCTCAGCTCACTGCAACCTCTGCCTCTGGGTGTAAGTGATTCTCTCACCTCAGCCTCCTGAGTAGCTGGACTTATAGGTGCGTGCCACCATGCCTGGCTAATTTTTGTATTTTTAGTAGAGACGGGGTTTCACCATGTTGGCCAGGCTGGTCTTGAACTCCAGACCTCAAGTGATTTACCTGCCTCAGCCTCCGAACCAGGCCTCTTTTTTAAATGCAGAAACACCCCCACAGAGTTAATATAGAAACCCAGCAATGTTGTTTATGTTTTACTTGAATTCATTTAATCAGAATTGTTTTTCTTTTAACAGTGTGATTAGATCAGCTCTTGTAGGGGATGGGAGCTTCGATAGGGTTTAGGAAAGGAAGATTTGTGTGGGGCACACTCCTTGGCTTTGGCAGCTTAAGGGTACCAGGTACATGATAATTTAGATGGATAACAGAAACTTGTGTCCCTTGAGAGCCAGGCATGTATTAGATGCTTTCATATATTATTTAATTGTAATACAAACCAATAAAATATCATTCCCATTTTTGCACATGGGCAAGCTGAAAGTCAAAGCAGTTATATAACTTGCCCAAGGTCACACAGCTAATAAAAAGGCTGAGCTAGGATTTATTTTTCCTTAAGTCTGTACAACTGCAAAGCCCATGCTGTTTTCACAGAGCTTTTCTGTCCCTGGTGAGATTTAGAAAGGAAGATATGAG